ATTATTTTTGACACTCCGATGGAAAACCGGTCGTTTGATTTCTTTCGAATAAATCTTTCCACTATCGAATCCACCACTTCAAGGAGACCCTTTGCGATTTTTGTCGCGGCCGCTGTCCCATTTTATCGAGTTTATAAAGTTTAATGAATTATCTGACAGGTGCAATTTGTTAAATAATACGGCGGCGATCGATTAGGTAAGGAGATTGTAAATGAGTGGAATTACGTTATTGACCGGTAAGTTCAGTGATGTTGGAGTCACACAGCACAAGTATAATCATGAAAAATTAATAAAATAATACGAATTCCAACAAGAAATAAATAAATTTCGATAATCTCCTCTGCATTTTGACGAATAACTTGACTGATTATAAGATAAAAAAATAATTTCCGTTTTTTTTTTTTACTTGTTACTTATTCTACTTTTCTATGGTATTTTGCAGGATTTTTGTGTTTTCCTTTAAATTTTTTTAAAGCACAATCTTCTGTTGAAGTGCTACACTTGCTTTAAATAAATTATTGATTTTGACATTTGATTTTTCTTGACAAAACATTTAGGTAAACTTTACCTCTGGGATCTTCAAAAAATTCTTATCAAAATACATTTAAATCGTCACAGCCTACTTCAAAAAATCGTTGTGTTGCAAATATAAATTCATTAGCTCGGATCAACAGTTTTATAAGTTATACTTTTTTTTTTTAATAAATGGTCGAAAAGGGATTTGTTTACTGCGACACAAAAATGTTATGATTGTTTTTATTTATTATTAAGCTCAGTATAGAAAAAGGGAAAGTTATTTCATTATCAACGTTTCAATTAAAATAAGTATGGTCAAAGCTTAATAGTTTTAGCCAAGCAATCTGCGGTTTAACTGTTTATCATATCAACATGTCACCTGTTTTTAATTAATGTCACTAGACCATTACGAATTCCAGAATTTTCTAATTTCAGTTTATTCATCGCCTTAGTATATTGGACGAAACCGATGGTTTTATTATTTTATATTTTTACGATGAATAATGGGTTTTCCTCACGTAACTTTTCGTGCGCTTACATGGCGATAGGATCTGCAAAGTCTATTTACTAAACACCGTTTTTGAATTGTATTCGAAGCCTAAAACTGGTTCGAATGATATATTCGCGTGACATGTTCACATGCAAGTCTCGTAAATAAGGTACCTATCGATTTTTCACAGTGGCTATCAAGGGTTTGCTCGGTTCCTAAACGCTGATTTTTGGAGTAGGAGTTTTTGTTTAGGGAATATTTATCATCGAAGATCAATCTCAAATCCAAATGTTTATATCAAGCGTTACAACTTGATGCGGCTTCTCATAGCAAATTCAAAGTGGACAGAGAATAACTTTAGAGTTTGGAGGGCATAAAACTTGTGTTAAGACAGACTATTCTCTCTCGGATGCCCATTATTTCAAAGCACTCCGCCGGCACAACTTTTTTTTTTTAAATAGCCAGACACAAATCGCTTTGTTTTAGATAAAAACCAACGTTCCTTTGATGTTCCAGCAGCAAACCGTAAAACCGTAGCCACATAATAGCTCATAAAATTTCATTGCAACTAAATATGTTGAATGCTCAAAATATAATGTGTCGACTCTACTTAATTTGTGCAGTAAAATGACAACAAACCAGGCGTTAAATTTAGCCGAATTATATTGCTACACAATATGGTATCATGTCGTTGTAGCAGCACTAGTATGGTATATTAAACATGCTTAGTTTTCGAGACACAGGCTGTTGGATTTATAAAATAATTATCAATTTTTATTTATATTTTAGAGAACTCTACTAACTTTATTTTTTGGCGAAGCCAATATGCATAATGAATTAATATCAGTCATATTCATACCTGTAGACTTATTTATTTACTTTTTGTTCTTACATGTATTGTTGCACTTTTTCCTCCAATTGTTTTTGCCTATATTTGAGCGTGGCATTAAAATTGGCGTTCTGATGTAATTACCGGGTATTTAATTGTATCGCCATCTAACAAAATTGTTTCAGATGTGCATAGACGGGGCTGATATACCAAGTGACTGGAAAGGCTCTTATATCACAACTATTTTTAAGAAAGGAAGTAGGGACAGTTGCTCAAACTATAGAGGACTAGCAGTAACGAGCACACTAAGTAGAGTATATGGTAAAATATTGAAAAAGAAAATTGAAGCTGAATATAAGGAGATAGAAATAGAGGAACAAGCGGGATTTAGAGCTGGGAGATCAACAGTAGACCATTTGTATACAGTAACACAGGTTTTATAGAAAAAAACAGCCAAAGATCAGGAGGTACATCTCCTCTACATAGACTTTCAAAAGGCTTATGACAGCATACCTCTAGAGAAACTATGGGAGGCTTTAGAAAAAACGAACATTAATTCAAATGCGATAAAAGCGGTCAAAAATCTATATAAAGATATAACAGCTAAAGTCAAAATACAGGACACTTTTTCTGAGCCCATACCAATTACAAAGGGCCTCAAACAAGGATGCTGCCTGTCTCCTGTATTATTCAAAATATACCTACAACAAGCCTTACAAAAATGGATGAACAAATGCAGAGGAATGGGAATCCCACTATTAAATGAAACAACATTATATACCCTTTTCTTTGCGGATGATCAAATACTCTTAGCACAAGATCATGATGATCTAGAATATATGGCACGAAAGTTAGTAGAAGAGTATGGAAAATGGGGATTAGAAGTTAACATCACAAAGACTGAAAGTATGACTGTGGGAGGAACATCTGGAAATATAACATTGGAAGACGGAAGCCTAATAAAAGACTGCCAGGAGTATAAATATCTGGGACTAAAAATAACGCAGGACGGAAGACTAGATGAGGGAATAAAAGAAAGAATAATACAAGGAAGAAAAGCAATAGCCATGCTGAATGGGATCTTGTGGGACCAAAGTATATCCAAAACTAATAAAAAAACCATATATAATACAATAATAAAAAGTATCATCACATACGGAAGTGAGGTATGGCAGCTAAAGAACAAAACAGAAAATATGTTACTAGCAACCGAAATGGACTTCTGGAGGAGATCGGCTGGAAGATCAAAAAAAGAAAAATTAACAAATAAAAAGATAAGAGAGATCATGGGAATAAAACATACAATAGTAGACGACATAAAAACAAAACAACTTATATGGTTTGGACACGTACAGCGCATGCCCGAAAACCGAATCCCGAAACAAATACTATTGTGGCCACCGCAAGGGAAAAATAAAAGGGGAAGGCCTAGAAAAAGTTGGAAGGAGGGAATAGAAAAGGAACTAATAGAAAGAGAATTACCAGACCAGCTATGGTTAAATAGAGAAGAGTGGAGGTTAGGTGTCGGAAAACGGCGTAGAACGTTCTAGACCGACATATATATATATATATATATATATATATATATATATATATATATATATATATATATATATATATATATATATATATATATATATATATATATATATATATATATATATATATATATATATATATATTTAATTGTAACGACTTCGAATAGTACCGTGCGTTCAATTTATCATTTTAATTGGCTCAAACTTTTTGTTTTTAGAGATATCAAGGTAATCAAAATGTAGGGTTAGTAGCCAAGTTTTTTCCAAGTGACGTATAAAACAAAACACGATCATCATATTTTTTTAAATGGAACACCCTGTATATTATATTTGTGTTTAATATAATATCTTCTTCATATTATAATGATGTAACATACTTTATATTTTAGCCCACTGGTTTTTGATGGTCGAATTATTGTCTGAATCGTTATTGTAAAAATGGTTTTTGGCGATTTTAGTATCGGAGGAAGGAGTAATATGCTTCGAGTAAACTTTCTGAATAATAAAAGTGCAACCGTAGCTCGTCGTCAGTATATTAGATTTTATCCAGAGCGCCGAGCTCCTCCAGAACAGATATTTTCAAGGCTGACAAAGAAATTTGCAGAAAACGGTAACGTATTCAATGCTAAAAAGGTATACCGGAATCATAATGTTTTAAATGAAGAAAATAAGCCAAACATATTAGGATTCTATAAAGCACATACAGTTTCCTAGTTTCCTCCATTTCTAGAGTATATAAAGAGACAGGTATTTCTCGGGGATCAATCCACTTGTAAGAATATAAATATAATGCATTTAAATTTCTTACAACCCAAAAATTAAGTGCAGAACAATGTCAACGGAGGATGCAGTTTTGTTTGGATTTTTAAATAGACATAATAATAATAATAATAATAATAATAATATTTAAAAAAATATATATTGGTCACACATTCAAATACAGCAGTATTTAGAATAGTTAAAGAATTTTATATTTTAGTGTGTCTTGTCATCTTTGTTCTTTTGGTTCCACTTTAATTTGTAAATAATTATTGTTGTTGCAGTCAGTCACGGCATTCTGTGAAATTATATAAAAATTGCTTATTTTTGCCGATTTGTCAAAAACGAGTAGACTAAAATATAAAATGTGTTACATTGTAATCGGAATAACATATTCTGCTAAATTAAATTTAAAAAATTAAAATGATGTACTTGTTGCTTGGAAAAAAAACTTGGCCACTAACCGTTCATTTCGTTTTTTTCTTTACTTTGATATGTCTAAAAACAAAAAAGTTACAATTAAAATCACGATAAATTGAACGCACGGTATAAAGGCAAGTCTTTTCTGCATGTTATTATGTAATAACGTTTTCCAAATTTGAGTACTAGTTGATAATTAAATTCAGTTTAAGGTTGTTCACGATTTTGCTCCACGTGACTCGCAATTTTCAAATTTCACCGTTTGGGATCTATTTGGCCTTTATGTTATTATAGTTAAGATTTTTTCTTTTATTTTCAAACAATTTTATGTAAATTGGCCCTTTTGTAGTTACTGTTTTTGGTTCCATCCTTCAATATAGGTTTTATGCCTCTTAAACTTGTTTTTTCGCGTCTTTTGACAGTCCACTAACTCATTCACTTGTTTCAGAAAGGCGCAGCCGTGCACCTGCAACGACACTGCAACAACACCCGAGTGGAGCGTATCTACATGGACTGGATCTGGTGGATCTTCCAGGGGTTACCGTTTCAGCACTTGGTTCGGATCTTGGACTGCTTTTTTCACGAGGGGGTCAAGGTAATGATGTTCCATTTATTATTTCCTTTAAAAATAATTATGTTAGATAAATTAATAAACTAAACTTAGAACGGAATGCGCATTCTAGTCATATTTAACGAAGGTAATAAACACTCTTGTAAGAAAACTGAAAACCAAAATCAGAAAAACAAAGATAGTTTTGTTTTTCTTGTACCTTACGATACAAAACTTAAATACGTAATAAAATTTCCATTTGTTTTAATAGTTATATCTACTGTAAATACAGTGTGCCTTTCCTTTATTCTTTATTCACAACATCCTTCCTCTCTTGAAAGATTTCTTTGCTTCAATTTTTCTTTGCATTACGAGTTGCATACTTGAAACCTTTCGTGACGTGTTTCACATCCTATAGAAAGTCCTTGCTTGAAATTTTTAAGAAACTTTAAAAATTTGATCGGAGCTCATGGTCCAGTCTTCTATTACCTCTAGTAATAATTTTAGACGTCATCTGGCCTGTTTTTTGAATATTTTGAACAGAAACATTTTCATTGTCATTTCTGTTAGTAGGTTCAAAAAGAACTGTTCGGGCTCTTTCTTCAAACGGGCAGTTCGTGTTCTGTCATATTTCCTGGTCTGTCGCATTGTGGTTTATACATGATCAAAATCAGAACAAGGATTCTTGTTTAACCGTCTAACTCATATTCTGCCTAAAACTATGAATTATTTACTAGGAAATCTAATTTATTTTCCAGAAATTCTAACTTAATTCAGAAGTTTTCACTTATTTTGCAGAAATTCTAACTCATTTTCTAGAAATTTTCACATATTTTCCAATCTACCAAACCTTACCATCCAGGATGTCGTCTTAGTAAGCAAAGCACACAAAAAGAAAATGACTGCTGAATATTTATCGTCAGAGACTCCCTACGCACTGTGTGCTCCCTTAGGCCACATTTTTTACCTACTACTTGAAACGGGTGTTTATCCAGAATCTTGAAAAATCGCCAAAGTTCACCCTATTCTCAAAAAAGGTGATCCTTCCGCAGTTGAAAACTGCTGACCTATTTTGATATTACGCAATTTTTCGAAAATATTGCAGATTAAATTACATAAATGTTTGCTCAAATTCTGAATAAACTCTCTGCGCAATAACATGGTTTTTATGCGAAAATATCATGTATCACCAACTTATGTTCCTTGTCTTCTTATGTACGTGACTCTCTGAACAAGCAAAGTCAAGTTATATAAAGTGACTTCCACAAAGTGTTTGACCAAACTGATTGAAAAAGTTTCTAAAATTTGGTTAGTTTATGATCTTTGACCATCTGCGATGAGCTAGCCTATACAGATGACCTTAAAATTATATCTCTTCATCAAAACCGATACTGGTAAAAATAAATTGCATCTTAACATCAGCAAGTGTATAGTCTTTAATTACAGTATTGATGTTACTCTCCTGACTAGACTTGCCACAAAGGATCTGGGGATTTCATGCGGCCTCTTCAAGTATCCTCCTCAAAGTATCTAATGTTCAGGGAAAAGGGATCCTATCCGGCGAGGGGAGTTGATCTTGATCTACTGAGAAGATTCGCTGTACTGCCTCTGAGATTACGCAATCTGTTATCTCTCTAGTTCCCTACGGAATCGATTGTCCTTTTCTTCTGGTACCGCGACTAGAAGGAGGACATCAATCAACATTCTTACAGCAGTTGCCCAAATCCATTATCCATTTTCAAAATTTTATTTACAATACGTGTGTGAACTTCAAAAAATTTTTGAACAGCATCGAAAAGCCTTATCCTTTTCTTTTTTTCTCTTTTTTTTTGATTATATAATTATTTATATTCAATATGGGTCATGTTACCTGTTATTATGTTATTAGTGCTATTATTATTAAAAAAATTGAATTGGTAGTATATTTGTCAGACAAAAGCCTCTATTGTGGAACGCCCATTTATTTTATAAGTTGTCATCCATAACAAAATTATCTCCGCGGATATCGACGATGGATGAACTAATTGCCAATAACGGGCAACGTTATGGCGGTAATAATTTTTATTGCCAGAACAGTGAAACTGTTTATAGGAATCATATCGTCTATTGTTAGATTTTCTCAGATGATTAAAAATGCAGTTTTGGCAAGCGTCGCGGTAATTTCTGGCGGTAGCGGTATTTAAAGCCATCCCGTAATATAAAAAACGCGCATTTTCACCGTTACGACGTATTTATGGGTCCGCAACTCGCTGATGTTTACCAACGGGACTTGCTTCGAAGTTTTGCGATATGAGTAACGCGAAAATTTACGGTAGGAAGATTTTGTTTTGTTTTTTTTTTTTTTTTTGAAAAATTTCCTCTCGATCGTGTCGCGGCGCGATCGATCGAGTTCGACGTGCAATTTTCGATACGTCAAATATTTTTAGCAGTCGCTACTAAAATAGAATGAAGATGACGACGACGCCTGGGTTAAAATATTCGGGTAATATACGTCATTCTGTCGTATAATTTGCCTGTAGGTGTATTTTCAGAATAAACTCGATAATTAGTATTGACTTTCGGTCGATATTTTCGCATTTTGCAGTTTGCATTTTTAACCATTAGATCGTCTTATTTTGAAGATATCCGCGTACAAAGAAAAGTATAGTCCTATTATTTATTATATATTTTTTACTTTTCCATTGACAGAGACGAATTGACCAAGTTAAATAGACCCCCTGTTTTGGATATAGATTCTTCATAAAAAATGATGGCCACTTTCTGTATAATACCTGTCGTGGTTTGGGATATCTATCCTTCCTTCATAATTGTTAAAATATCCAATTATGATTCGGGTAACGACTGTTATAATTTCGCTAAAATAAATAATACAGACCTGTTCAGTATTAAATATATTTTCCTGCCCCCGTCTGTAAAATACCTCATTACCCACCGATCTAGCGTGCGGGAAGCGTCACTTTACCACGTCAGTCCAGCACGTCACGTCGTTTCCCACGAATCCGAGCTACTTCGGACATTTCCGAGATTGTACCGCACAGATTTGGGAGCAATCGGATGTTTTCGGAAATATTTCCCACGCTTTAAATTTTGACGTTTGTCAATTCTGAAGCTCATGTCAGTGAAACGTTCGGTAAACTTTTTGACTCACTCGTTTATTAAACACTCGCTCCGCTCGTGAGTCAAATGCCGTTTACCGCACTGTTGTCTTATCTAAGGTAAAATTAATATTAAGAAACTTCCTTTTCTTCAATTTTGCTCCTATCTCTTAAGTTTTTAGAGTAAGCAATCATTTCAATTACGCATGGCTCTTTAATTAACATAAGTACATTATTTTGATGATTTATTGAGAAACTCTGTAGATTTCAGCCAGTGAGCTAATTGAAAAGTTTAAATGAACAAAAAATAACGTACTAAAACCGTTTATTATTTAATACCCTATACTACTAATTAATAATAAAAAGAAATTGGCCCGGAAACGAAGCCACGTTCAATAAAATTTATACTACATTTTCGTCTTAAATTGAGGATTCGCCTCCTTCTTTTGTTGCAGAGAAAAACACCCCGTATAAATACAATTGTTTACTGTTCGACTTCGAATGTTACAGAGTAATATACAATCTCCTAAAACTGGATTATTACCCGTAATAAGTTCGCTTTTTACACCAATCTCTGTTGAGAGAAAAATTTTGCTTAACTAAAGCTTTTTACGACGTTCAACTAACGTACCAACCCTAAATAACCTGCCGAATAAGTATCAAAAACCAGTCTGACCAAATTTCGTTTATAATAAATCTTGTAGAAGGGATTCTAGAGTGTGCTTAATTTCAGAATGAGACAGCACGTGGCAATTCTATTGTTCGCTGCCGTTGATTTTTAATATTTTGTAATTGTTTTCTCTCATATCTCCAGGCAATTTGTACAAATGTGGCTCCAAAAAAACTTGCTGTAAAAGGGAAAGTGTTTCACTAAATATTAATTAAGCACCGTCACTGGCCCTCGCCGCAAGCCATCGAATGGCGTCGGTTTCGCAGGCGAGTGCAATCAGTCACGTGATAATGTCCCATCCTGAAATTACGTTCACTCTACTACTGAGTGGCGCACAGTGGATGGTCTATTAGAAGTCTGAGGTCAACGGATTTATTTTAAATTATACTATTGTTATTATATATAAAATATTTTCAAGTATGCAGTGTTGCCGCTTCTAAACAAACGTGGCATAGTTTAAATGCCCCCCCCCTTTCTAGAACCTTTCATTTTTAGATTCTCCTCAATAAGAAAAGTATATTTTGTTCATGTTTGTATAATATTTTCGAAATCAAAAACAATTTCTTATAATTTTTAGCCAATTTGGGCCCCTGAAGAAATCTTCAGTGCTTTTATTTAAAAAAAGCAGAACTTTTCCAGACAATTTCTGGAAGGCCTCAATCTTTCTTTCCTGGCATACCATTTTAGGTGAAACATACAGGGCGTTTCACAAATAAGATTTCGTCAAGAGTTCCAGAATCACGGTTTATTTTTTTTATCGCGCCGCCTGTATATTCAGTCAACATCTAATTTAAATTTTAATAAAGTATGGCTTTTTCAATTTTTCCGCAGTTCACAAAGAAAACTTTGGAGTTTGACTGTCTTCATTGATTGTTTATTGACGATAGTTGGAAAGGAAATAAAATTAAACAAAAATGAGGTTTTACCAATTTTATTTTGTCTATGTTGATATTATATAGGAATCATGAAAAATAATTTTTAGTTCGAAGAGGTATAGCGAAAGTCGAACAAAATGCGGTAATTTCTTTCCTAGATGTCGAAAATGGAAGAATATACGGGTTGTGCTGTTTAAAACCTGAATAAACCTTGTTTTCAGGATTCTCTTGCAAAATCTTATTTTGGAAAAACCTTGTATTTACCGTCTAAAATGAAATGCCAGTAAGGAATGCCTGAGCCATCCCAGGGACTGTCTGGAAAAGGTCGACTTTGTGTTTAATTAATTAATATTTCTTTAAAAGCTTAATTGCTCAAAAATCAAGGAAATCAACAAAATCCACTTTATTTCTTGCGTAGAATTTAAAAATGAAACTATATATAGTCGGGCCGTTTAAACTAATCAAGATGTTGCCACGTTTATTTGAAGAGCAACACTGCATACTTGAAAATATTATTGGAGAGGTAGAACTTTTAGAAATTCGATTTCATTTCATGTAGAGACGGATTTACTTTAAACTGGCGTTCTATATCGAATTTTGAAAGGGTGATTGAGCACATTCCAGTCTCTTAAGATACAGTAATGCCTATGTTAATGTCAATCTAAGATAGTACTTAAATGCCCAAATTTTAAGTGGAACTCCTTAGATTTACAAATAATAAAATACAATACAAGTTGTACTGGTTGATAATACTACTATACTAATATACTAATATGTATCCAAATTCGTAGGCTGGACGCGGTCAGCCATTACTAGGAAAATCTAGATATTGTTATTTGGTCGCCTGACCTTTTGTTGCATTAATCTGTATCTAATGAACCTTGCTTGCCACACGCGCTAACTGATCGCGATCTTGGTGGATAAGCTTGTTGTTTCGAGCAGCTGCTGCCCGACATATACGATTATATTAATTTAATCGAGATCAGAAATCGATCTGGTTGCCAAACGAAATCATCGGACGAGTCGGGATTGAGCTATGACATCCGCGTGCCGGTTCCGAAAAAATATAAACACCTAGTTTATTTTTCGACGAGCCGTGTTTATTTTTGGATTTTATTTTAAGGATTGCGAAGCGCTATTAATTTGTTTGGATATCCCTCCATTCGTAATTAAATTAAAACTGGGCATTTACATTAGTGTTTAACATATTTAGGAGTTAGAAAACATATTGGAAGTTCTGTGCCATTAAGTAATTTTATTGATAATATAATCAGAGCATGTAACAGAGGGGTCGTGATCCGAGCTTCCAACTAATTTCTCGCCATATTTTTCTCTTCTCTGTAGATGGCCGAAATATCTCCGAATTCGACGCTTGTACTATTTTAGGGAACCTTTGGTGTTTGGTGTTTAATTTCCATCCAGGGTATTCGCAGAACCGTTCTCCAGTACCAGAGTTCGAATGCGTCATGCTTATAAGCCAACTAAAAAGTTCCTAACCAATTGCTTTCATTTCTGGATTCAATTTTGAGTCTATACGTTTGAAATTCTGAACTTTCTCCAATACTGTAAAGTACACGCATTTGCCTATGACATGCAGTGAGTTACATATTCTAGGTGACTTTTGGAGTAGTCGCGATCCCAGGTTAAACCCTTCTAAATCATGCTTAATGATTTTTGTAAGTAAGAGCAAACTTACCACTTTAATGGATAAGTTTAACCAAATAGCTATAGCTCCTTTGCTAAAAATTCATACTCCGCAGGTGGCATTGATATTTTCGTAGACAGGGAAATGATTTTCCGCGCATGCCTCTACATTTCAGCTACTAAAAAGCTCTTTTCTTTCTGAACTGCGATTTCCACACACTTCACTGGTTGTATCAGAACATTTAACGAGATTTCGGGATCTGTCAGCGGCTATATTGGTTGTTGAATACTCTATGGGTTTAACATCAACAATTTTGTGCCCGAAGAAAATAATCAGAGAGTGATATTGGATACTCATCTTCGGTTTAAGGGACGTTACGGTACTCACCAAAAACGGTCTACAATAACAGATATATGCAAGAGATTGAGAAGAAATTTATGCGACTCACTTGTTCTGTCTAAACTTTGTTGTGTCGAAAGATAATAATAATAATAAGGGTCTAACAATAGCAACTTAGTATTCTGACAAAAAGGCACCCAATCAATGCTGGTTTTATAAAAGTACCTAATATTTTTTATTTCTTAAACGTGATAGAATGTTCAGCACAAATTTTTAAACTAGTATGCATCAGACTAATGTTTATTTGCTTGAATAAAAGGCATTGATTATTATTATTGTTTGAGCACTTCCTTAATTTAAAAAAGACCAAAAATTAAATGTTGAAAGTTCTAGCAACTTAATCCCTGATTAAACACACGTTTGAGATGTGTATTCGACCTATTTTATCGTCATATTCAGGTAAAAAAAGACATCGCCAGCTGATCGGCTTTGCTAACGAGCTTTAAAGGTATTCGTTTTGTCCTTCGTGAATTTCTTTTGGACTGTATAGATCAATCGCGTGGTTCCAGGTATTATATCGAATCGTTATGGCTATCCTGATCCTGTTCCACAAATATTCCTCGTCGTCCTCGTCGGAGTGGTCGACTGAGATCCAGAAAAATGGCATCGATTTGGCACTGAACAAGTTCTGCAGAGAAATGCCTGTTACGCCGCAAAAAGTATTAAAGGTATTATTATTAATACTTTCTTCAATTCAAAGTAGTTCATCTGTAATATTCAATGTCAAAAATTACTCTTGTTACTAAAGTTGCATTAAAACAATAATGGAAATCTTAAAAAACTTAGGAAAAAAAAATGATAGGTCAATTGGCCAAGGGAAATAGCTAGAAATTATTTTCAGGTTGATAAAATGGCCGCTAGGAGGCGTAAAATAAAAAAACTGGTTTTCTCAAAAATGTTCCAAATTAATCTATGCCAAAATTAATTTTAACGTAATCTACTCTAGATAAGAAAACTTTGTTTGTTTATGTTTTTTTTTGTTTATGATGTCAGTTTTTGTTGGCTTATATGTATGGTTGTTCATGTTCTTGTATCTGTGGTTGCACCAGGTGGCCCATTAATAAAGAACGCCGGCCATATCTCATGAACCGTTTGTTCTACATCTGGGAAAAAAATATTTATAGGTAAAATGGCTTCTACTGTAAAATAGAAAGAACGGGGTTTCTCAAAAATATTCCAAATTAACCGATATCAAAATTAGTTTTAACGTAATCTACTGTAGACAAGGAAACTTGTTTGTTTGCCCTATTTTTTTCTATTTAGTCAAATTAAGGGTGGGGGAAAGGTCAAATATTGGTTTAGAAAAAGTTAAATAACTCTTTTTTGGCTAATCCTATTTCGTTTAGTTTTAAAGAGTATTTATAGGAGCTGACATGTCAACATCACGATATTAGTTCGAGTCGGTAGCAAAAACAGCTATTTTTCTGATTTTCTCGAAAATTTCAAATATAATGGTATAAATATTTTTAGCTATCATGAAAGAGCGTAAAAAGACATAGAAAGTAAGTGGAAATGGGAAGGCAATATCGTTTTTGCCCTCTTAAATATAAATAAAAATTCATTTAAAAATACTTCTTTACGTAGGTATAATAGAAGGAGTATTAGATATAACCAAGAAATGACATATTATGACGAGATGATAATTTATAGTAAAGGTTCGATACTACTTTTATTTTATATATAAAACATAATTTTGAGAAAATTGGGTTAGAAAGAATTATTCATCAATGTCTGTCAATGATGTCTGGGCTGGGTTCCATAATAATTGAAGTCCTTTCTAGTTCTCTGGTTTATGATTTCTAACGCCATGAACTGTATAAACTTATTTTAATTGAAACAAAACCTAACACTAAACCAAATTCTGACACTAATTACCCAATTACACATATAACAAAGTAATTAATGGTGCCCCAAATGTTCAAACTAACCAAAAATTATAAATCTAACGCATATACTTCCTTTGCCAATCCACCTAATGGGAAACGTTAAGTTCAAATTATCACGAACTAATAGAGAAAAATGGGCCGGGCAGCCATCATGCTGGAAAAGCATATTCTGCAGTGTTGCCAATCTTCCATCCAAGAATTTGTTCTAGACCAATAGTAGATTCACTGTGGTACGGTTTCCACTACTTTCTGTGTTTTTTTACGCTCTTTCATCTTAGCTAATAATATTTATACCATTGTCTTAAAAATATTCCAAAAAATCATAAAAATAGCTGTTATTGGCATGAAGCGCCTCCTAGCGACTCGTAAGAGAATTAATATCGTGAAATTGACATGCCAGTCGAATCTGCTATAAATGCACTTTAAAAATAAACTAAGTTCGTCGGAATCGACTTAGCAAAAAAAAAAGTTATTCAACTTTTTCTAAACCAATATTTGACCCTTCCCTAACCATTAATTTGACTAGATAGAAAAAAAATAGTTCAAACAAAACAGTTTCCTTATCTAGAGTAGATTATGTTAAAACTAACTTTGATATAGGTTAATTTCGAATATTTTTGAGCAAATCCGTTTTTTTTTATTCTACAGTAGAGATTACGCCCCCTAGCGGCTTTTTTATGAACATTAAAATAATTTCCAGCTTTTTCCAAGTTGTATGACTAATGGTTCCTGAGATATGGCCGTTTTTTATTAATGGGCCACCTGGTACAACCAGACATACAAGGACATGAACAACCATACATATAAGCCAACAAAAACTGACATAAACTCGATATTTTTTGAACTTACTTTTCGGTTTTTCAGGTTGCATTCGGGATAAGAGGTTTAAGCTCCTCGTACATATCCCGAGTGTTCATAAAGACTGAGATGCTCCTAAAGAGCAAACACGTGATTCATGGCTCTAGACAGTTGGTTAGGTCAAGGTCGAGCGAAAATCTACCCAACAGTCAGAGCCAGAATAATATTCAGATGGTCTCGCACACATTAACGATACGAGAGGTGAGTTTTCTTGTAGAAAGTGTCATAATGTTAAGTACAGGGCAAATGAAAATGTGTGATGTGACAGACTTTTCGATATATGTTTACAAAAGGACACGTATATCTTTGAAGCCTCAAAACAACCAGTTTGTGCTTCAAATCTATCAATGTTAAGATTGCACTTCCTTCGTTGTTAGTGGATAATTTTGAGTATTCAAGTTGTTTTTTTTTTTCTGTTTTAAATCTGGCGGTTATAAACAAATAATTGTACGTGTAAATACTGATTATCAGAACATCATAAAGATACTTTTTATTCGAATTTAGTATTTCCGACTGAGATTAATATATGATTACACGAAAGTTTTGTTGATAGATTTGAAGTGCTGAAATTTTGCTTACCCGAGCAAACGCACTTTCTCAATAAACTTGTTTCAGCAGGAGAAACAAAAGAATTTCATTCACACTATTCACAATGTGACGAAACTTTTTTCCGGTGTAAGTGTTTTTGCACTGTTTGAGGCGTTTTGTCTTTACCGGTTGAAATCAGACAGTTGTTGCTATTTTATCGCTAAACGTCGTCAAATTTTTGTAATTTCATTTTTCGACATCCACGTCGCAAGGTTGAGTTAAACGTAAACTCCCGGGTACGTAAATAGCAACAATTTTCAAAACTTTACCACTTTCTCCGTGACATTGAAAATATATCGGTCGGATGTCACCCTGGCAAATAAATGCTCATTTGCCATTTTAATTTCGTTTGCGGCTATCGTTGGTTTCCAAGCGTTTTCCGTCAGGCCACATTTATGCGTATGGATCTATATTAGATTTTGATACTAGCACGTGCACGATGAAATAAACCTTTTAAAGTGTTTTTACTCTTTTTAGAACACCTGCTGGTGGTCGCTGGTTCACTATAATTTTCTACCAAAACTGCATCATCAATATTTATTTCAAGATCCCTTATTGAAGGCATTCTTGTTTTTTCTCGTCATTTTATAAATTTTTGCGTGCCGTGTTAGCATCAAAATTCCGTATTGATATCTCCAAGCGCCTGGCCCTAGACGTTTGCAATATTTGGTGTTCGTTAACCTATGTTAATCAAGAGTGCGTTCACGTCAAATATACTGTATATTACACTCGATCTTGGCGGACGTTATTTATTCATCTAAAATATGTGTATCGTGCGTTCAACACTCAATTTTCTGACATATAAGCCTACATCATATTTTTTAAATGGAACATCCTGTATATTCTATATGTGTTTAATACAATATCTTCTTTTTGATTACAATGATGCAACACTCCTAAATATATCAGCTCTGATTACATGGCAGCCCTCCTCACAATGTTGTGCAAGTTGAATATTTTCTTAACATGGAATATCCCAGGGGATTGGCCAGTCAAGAGTTTCGGACTCATAAAAAATCAAGTGCACAGAATTCCTTGTAATAATGTCCTAGAACTTGGCAAAGAATTTCAGAGGCAATCAATCAGTTACGAGACAATCCGGAAACGTTATTAAATTCAAGACTTCATACAATTAGAGTGTATTCAGGAAAATGGTGGTCACGTACAGCAATATTTAGAATTGTTAAAAAAAAATTTAGTGTGTCTTGTCATTTTTAGTGTTTTTATTCTACTAAAATATAAAATGTGTTACACCATTGCAATCGGAATAAGATATAATAAAATTGATAGTGTTTTGTTTTATACATCACTTGGAAAACTACTTTTTGTTTTTTTATTTACCTTGATGTCTCTAAAAACAAAAAAGTTGCAGCCAATTAAAATGTTATCAAGATAAATTGAGCGCACGGTACTATGCATACACTAAATTGGTGTTCAATAAGATGCAGCCATTGAAAATGAGCCCGTAATATGAACATGTTTCAACCGACTGCGAAATAGATACATTAAAAATCCAAATTTGTGGCCTGCCACTACTTTTCATAATTTCATAATTTTATAAATTTAATTATTGAATTAATTAATATTTTCTGAGGTTTTTATTCGTATTTCATTCTTATTTGTCTCTTGCAAATTTTTGTATATCTGCTAAGCAAGGAGGTCGGTTGAAAATGCCTTATTTTTCTGTTGCTGCCAAAATTGACTTATATTTATTTTTTAATTAGAAAATTGCTGCAATCGCGAATAATTTCCGTCAAAGGAGACACTTGTGAAACACTTTTTCTGTCCTTAATTCCTCCCCACTCTTTTTTTGCGTCCGCGTGCAAGAGGGAAATTATGTTTGAATTTTTTCTCGTCATTTTTTTTTTGGAACGAATTGTTCGCGAAAACATTTTTTTTGCGAGTGTGCGTGGATACATTTTTGACTTTTTTTTTCGCTATATTCTTTTAGTTCATCTTAATTTCTTTCGCCTGTTTTATACATTTTTTGTTGCTTTATTTAACTGAAATAACCTTGTCGTATGTGGTGAATGGTTTTTAGTCGTGTATATATTTAATTTGTTCTTTTGTCTATATTTTTTCCTTTTAGTTACGTACTGTATATTTTGTTGTATATTTACTTAACAATTAACACGTTTTTATAATAATTTACGTGAGGGCACTGTTAGAATTAACCGTTTGTTTAGATTTCGTTTGCTTCTGAATTTCGCGATGTTTTTTTTGTTATCGATAACAATGAGCCTTCGAGCAATTAAGCAACCGCCAACCAGAAGCATGCGAAGAAACCGTTTTGCCAATAAAGTGCCGTTTCCGCAATAATACGAAACGGGATTTTGCTTTGGCGAAAACATTTTCTGATGGCATTAAATTTTTGAAACGTAGCTGATATTCGTTTTTTCAGAAAATGTCGGAAGAAGTGTACAATGAAATGGTATTGTATTGGTTTTATATTTTATTTTCTATAAGGAATTGAGTATGCGTTTGTTGCCCATCATTTTTTTTGTCAATAACCCATACTTTTCACTGTCTTGATGTCGTTTTCTGTCGACGGATCTTGGTTCGAAGCGATTTTTTTTGTAGCAGCGTTTGAAATAGCCGATACAAGCTAAAAGCTACAATAAAGACGGGAACCAAGATCGTCGCGTACAGTGTAAGTGTACAAAAATAATTCGTTCATCATCTCGCATGATTAATAACAAATATAACCGTACTAACCACTAAAATGGTGTTTTCTATGTGCAGTTTCATCGATAGTGCAAAGTTTAAAAAGGGAATTTAATGTCGAATCGTTAGTGGCATCTTTTTTACGTCCATATCATTGTCATTTCTATATTTATTGGTTTGCAGTTCATATCTTTTTGGTGCTTTCCTGTGCGACTAAAATTTTTGGTATCAGAATTGTTCTAGTAATATGAAAAACAAAATTTGCGCGTGCAGCTCTGTAAAAATAGATATCATAATACTTTTGTTGGTTTCCGTAGTGTTATTGGTTTTCTTTTAGTGTAATTTGTGTTTCTTGTCGTGTGATGACGGAGAACTCACGCCTGTTTGTTAAAGTTGGTGTGCGATTTTTAATTACAGGTCGAACGTCATATAACATGATGCTTTTAGAAAATTTCCGCTAAAATTCAAACCTTTTAATATATTTAAGTAAATGCGTGAAAAAGAAAAATAGGTGGAGGTGCAATGATTCTGTCCATATCAAATGATTACCAATCAAAGGCCATTGCTATTATTTACTTAAAAACAATTTTGTTATTGGAAGTATTTTAACAGTGAAGCATTTTCAATATTTTAATTTAATAAACATAATATGTTGATGTTGGATGTTTTTCTGCTTCAAATATTTATTTGTTTGACGGAAACTATATTAGGTAAATACGTGAAAAGGAAAAATAGTTGTTCGAAGACAATCGCTTTTATATATGTAAAAATAAAAGCTTTTGTAAACCGTATTTTAAAGGTGAAACTGGGTGCCGATTTTTGAAACCAGGGATGCGAAAGTAGTTCCCATAGCTCAACAATTGGAACCCTGACAGTGTTCTCCAGGTGATATCCGCTTTAATCAGATCTTTTCTAAATTATTACGCGGTGAAATCTAACATTTTTAAATAGTGAGTTTAATATAAATAAGCAGGTGTAGCAGCTAATTGTTTACAATGATTTTGGTGTTTTTAATCTGTAAATTTTGCCAAGTTAGTTGTATGTTATCTAACAAAAATAAAATAAAAATTCGAATTTTCTCCAAAAATTTTAAATATTATTAAAGCGTACTCCATGAACTTACACAATTTTAACTCTCTTGGAACCCAAACCTTATTAAAATGTCTATCGGTTATCTGTTTTGGGAGACCCAACTCTCGAATCAATATTGTTTTGTCAGTATTTTTGCAACTATATGACGAACTATAATTTCCGTCATTAATTTGTTAGTAATTTTTTTATTTTTAATTGTTTTTTGATCCCCTTAATTGGGAAGATATTACGGATAATAAGTATTTAGTAGAATTGTTAGGAAATCTGAATCTTAAGGCATCAAGCCTTTTAACATTATAGTATTAATCAAGAATTTGAAAATAGATTTAGGTTGAAGTAAGCAGTGGAATATAATGGGTTCATGGGCGCTTTAACTGTTGTATGGTCAGTATATTGTCTCGGGTTTTCACGACAATTATCTAATTCAACTAACGATGGCATTGCAGGACGGAGTAACAGGGACAGACTTTTAAGGATTTTTAAAAACAATATTTTATTATGTTTATTTTGGTATAATAAAATCGGGTTATCCAATACTGCCACTGGTATCAGTCGACATGAATAAAATATTGGTTTTTAGATTTACCCATTAACTATAGGTATGAGGGTATGGGGAGGGGTCAAAAGCCAAGACGACATACTTTGAGACAGACCATACATTGGGGCCAAAAAAAGTGTATCATGCTAGCGAGCCAGAATCTAACCGTTCGAGTTTGGCTCCAATTCAGTATTTTTCTTCTGCGCGGCTATAAATAGTTTCCCGATGTTGTGTAGACCACGTATAAATAAAATGGAGATTTTTTAAATATACGCGTTGAAAAATTAAATTAGCGTCAGCGCGAGCGTTCTTTTGTTAT